ACTTACAAAATTGAGTTTGTGTTGTTTAAAATTTTGAATAAAATCTGTTTCAACTATTTTAAAATGAAAGTTGAAAACTTTGTTGAAAATGACGACATCAAACATTTGAAGTTGGACAAACTCAGTTTTGTAAGTTAAAAAATATTCTTACTAAAGCAGCTTTTACCATTAATTAACTAGTAAACAAACTTTTTTATAGAAATATTCCTGTGTTCTTTTTTACAAAATTAAGTCATTCTAACTTAAAATTACTAAAACTAACTTAATCGATTATTAATTAAGTTTCCAACTTAAAGTTAAGTTTACTTTTACTAACATGTTTCAGATAACTGATTACGTCGAGCATTTTAAGTAACACGAACTCATCTGTGTAAGTTAAAAAACATTCTTGATTAAGTTGTTTTTACTAGATATTTTGTTTTCATACAAATAAACATTTTTAATTAAATCTAAAATTACTGAAGCTACTTTTGTCTTTTAAACTTACAGATTTAAGTTAAGTTAATCAGTAATTGTTTGTGTTTATTCTCTATGTAGATAATTTAGTGAATCAGTTACTGTTGTTGTTGTTGTTGTTATTGTTGTTGTTTTGAATCACTAGTTGCAGTGTTGTTTCCTCAGCGAGAACTTTAATACATTTTTACATTTATACAACAATATAAACAATAACAAAATCCACCAGTGAATAAAACAAACATTTAACAGATCAAAGTACATTATAATATCTATAATATCTAAACACGCAGATTCACAGTCGGCACAAAATGGCGGCTGCATTCGGTACACAGCTACGAGTCGCTGCGCTAACGAGCAAAGATATTACTATTCTCTAACTAAACCAGCTGAAACATCATTTAACATGTTAATAAGTTATTAACTTAATTAGTTATTAGCTCTGTTAGTTCCTCAGGTACATTGGTGGAGACAGAAGCAATCAGACCACCCTATAGATCACAGATTAACACTGTTACTGTTAACATTTAACAATAAAGAATAAAGTTAATAATGGAAATCAGTCTGTAAACGGACAAAATTCACATATTTGGTTCCACTTTTAGCCTAAAATTAAAATCAATTCATCAAGTTGTTTTAACTTAGGAGCTGAATCCATCCTCAGACAATATTCAGGAGCGTCAGTGGTGTCCTGAGCTGTTAGCAGTCACAAGCAGATGGCGATCAAACAAAGATGAAGATAAAGACACCGATGAACAAAAACTGTCACAAAAGAATAGAAATTATTTTAAAGGCCTTTTTAGAAGCAAATTCACTGCAGAAAAAACAGATTATCAATAATAATTAATCTCACAACGGGGACATTTACAGCAGCAATATGTAATAAATAAGTAAACAAGTCAAATATAAATAAGAGAAAATAAGCTGGTTAGCTTGTGCAGGTTAAACTCCGTACGTCTGATTTTTTTCTGTATTTTTCAGGGCGATCCGTCCAGTTTGGATCACAGTTTCTCCTCCGTGAAGGACGACCTGTCGCTGTGTGACGACCCGCTTTTACCCTCCAGGAAGATCATAGGTGATCGAGGAGGCCCCGCCTCCATGAAGGAGAACATCTGTCAGGTGAGATCAATGAACATTCCCCCCTAAATTGAACATATATGATATATAAAATACAAAACATTTAAAAAACAACTAGAAATTCACTTAACAAGGACAAAAACACAACAAAAATAATCTTTACAACTTTATTCTTACATTTAGGTTTTAATTTGGGAAAAAACATATTAAAGATAATTATATTCAATTAAAACGTATCAAAGGTACAGTTACATTTTTACCCTCATTTGAGAAACACTGAACTAAAGAAAACAAAATATTCACATTCGAGAAACTAAAATCTGAGAATCTGCATATTTCTTTTATTAAAAAATGATTAATTGAATATCAAAATAGTCCATTATGGCCAATAATTTAACAGTAATTGATTTATTGTTGCACGTCTAGTAACAAATATTTGCTCAGTTTCTCGATATAATGAGATTTTTTAAAACATAAAAAGATTTTTTTTACACTATAATTAGATATTTGCTCTCATTTTTACTGCATACAATAAATTATAATTGTATATAATAATAATTGTACTGACTATTATCATACTCCATAATGACATTTTATTAAACAAAAACTTATTGTCTCTGATTAAATCTGAAATCTCCCGCTGACCCTCCAAAAGTCTACTATTCAAAAATATATATAATATATAATAATATATATAATTTACACAATTAACACACATAGACGACTGAACCTTCCCCCAAACTGAACATAAATATAGTAAATAAAATAATTATTGTTAAAAGAACCAGAAATTAACAAGGACAAAAACTTGCAATAAAAAATAAATAAGAATAAAGTTACAATATATTTCAGTCATTTTGGTATAATTTATAACTTTATTCTCACTTGTAGTTTGTAATCTGGGTACAAACATATCAAAGATATATTAATATATATAGATATATAATATTAATTAGCTCCTGCCCAACCCGGGTTAAAGGTCAGACTTAATGGAGTCCTGCACTGTAAAAACTGCCTACAAACAAACCAAATAGTATTAAATATTATAAAATGTTCTTATATTGAACAAAAATCTGCCAGTTTTTCTCGACTAGAATTCTGTCGACTGAAAGACTTTTAAAACTATATAAAATGTCAAAATCTGAAGCAGTAAATAAGCATTTTGGTCACTTTACTGAGCTGAATTTGTACTTTTTATACAAAATAATTAGCTAAAAATATAAATAAACAGCAATAAAAACTAAGCAGCTGCTTTATTTCCAACCCTGGGATGACTCTCTGTTAAACTGAGAAGTTGTTTAAGTGGTTTTACTCTTAAAATATAATCATCTTTTTCCTCTGCTGGAATATTATACAGCCATTGTTGGTACTGGTTAAATCGAGCTCAATATTATCTGTAATATCTTATTAAGACACAGTTAGATAGATTTTCATAAAACAAGAAACCTTTTTTTGGTTAATGCCAAACATGCTTGACAAGATCATTTCCATCTATAAATCTTTTTTAATTTCTTAAGGATCATTTTTTGCAGGAATAAGCTAAAGTTAGCATTTTAGCTCCTCCAGTCTCGACTCTTTAAGTGTTTTTGGTGAGAGGTCTGTAATAGAGTCTGTGGTTCCTCTGATATACATCAGTAGATCCTCTCTCTCTCTCATTGTGTCTTTATAATCTGTGTGTGTGTGTGTTGTTCCAGGTGTGTGAGAAGACAGGTGAGCTGCTGCTCTGTGAGGGTCAGTGCTGTGGAGCTTTCCATCTGCCCTGCATCTCTCTGGCCGAGGCCCCGAAAGGGAAGTTTGTCTGTCCGGAGTGCAAATCGGGTACGTCTGTGTTTTATTGGTTTTATAGGTTTTATAATTCCAAAAATCCAACCTGAATTAAATAAATAGATTAATATTAAAGCAAAATCTGTGTAACTTATTTAAAGTTTACATTTTAAGAAACTCTTAAAGTGTGTTAAAGACATATTTAACCACTTAATTTATGACGTTTTAGCCCTCAGACCTCAAAACTTTGATTTTATTTTGGTAAAATTCATATAAAACTGGTCCCATATACAAGTAAACATAGCCCCGAATAAACCCACCAATCAGAGAGCTCCTCCCATCTGTACTTGTAAACAAAAGCTCTTCCACTAACGAGAATATTACACTTTACATTTACACATTAACTTAACGTGGTAACTAGTGGTAGTAAAACCCCTAACCCTATTAACTAGTTAGTTACATTTGAAAGTTAAATATGTGTAATATTGTTGTAATGAATCTCTGATATCAAAGTAAAAACCGTTACAGGAACCAGATGTTGGTGTTTTTTTTCCTCTCAGGCGTCCACACGTGCTTCGTCTGTAAGAAGCGCAGCGAGGACGTGCGGCGCTGTATGATTCCCGTCTGTGGGAAGTTTTACCACGGCGAGTGCATCGCCAACTTCGCCCCGACCGCGCCGGTGAACCGAGGCTTCCGCTGCTCAATCCACGTCTGTCTCACCTGCTTCATCGCCAACCCGAGCAGCCCGTCCGTCTCTAAAGGTGACGCTCAGGTAGTTTTCTGTGCGTCGCTGTCGTCGTTTCCAGGTTCTGACTGTCTGTTTGTTGTTTGTTTGTTCTCCAGGTCGTCTGGTTCGGTGCGTTCGCTGCCCCGTGGCCTATCACGCCACTGACCTCTGCATGGCAGCGGGCTGCGTCGTCCTCTCCAACAACAGCATCGTGTGTCCGAACCACTTCACCCCCCGCCGCGGCGTCAAGAACCACGAACACGTCAACGTCAGCTGGTGCTTCGTCTGCACCGAAGGTAAAGTCGGGTCCAGCTGAGCGAATAAACCTCCATCCTGAAGTCTAAAGGAAGACATTTTGGGAATTATGCTTATTAAATACTCTTATTCTTGCTGAGCGTTAGACGAGAGGATTGTTTGTAGTCTGTACGGTAAATATAAAGCTACCACTAACAGCTGGAGAACTTAGCTTAGCGGTAGTTACATAACTACACAGAGATTTGTCAGTTCAGTTTTAGTAAGGTTAAAGGTTTTATACACACCAACATCTCAGACCAAAATAATTTACACTACCGCCCACCAGACTCCATTTACAAAACCAGAAATTTTACGTAGGAAATTTTAAAACACATTTCAAACTGAACTAAAACTAAATGAAACTCACAAACCGGCTTTTTTAGTCTTTTCAACCATCACCAACTCTGGTTTGGTAGAAATAAATCCGTAATTCACCGACGCAGATGATAAAAACAGCAGTTGTTTGCTGCTATATAAATGCTTTAACATCTTCTCACCTAACTCTCTCTAAAACCAAAACAACGAGCTAAAAGAGGCTAAAATGCTGCGTACAAACACACACACTCACAGTACGATGCTGATGCTCCTCCTGTCCTGCAGGGGGCAGTCTGCTGTGCTGTGAGTCCTGTCCTGCTGCCTTCCACCGGGAGTGTCTGAACATGGAAATGCCAAAAGGCAGCTGGTACTGCAACGACTGCAAGGCCGGGAAGAAACCTCGCTACAAGGACATCCTGTGGGTGAAGGTTGGCCGGTACAGGTCAGTGTTTAATCTACAGCAGCAAGGACTCAATCTGCACAGTTATTGCTTCATAAATATAATATAAAGGAGGTTTTAGCCAATTTAATGCCATAAAAGAAGAATACTGTGCTGCTTTTTAGTTATTAGGAGCCAAAATCTGATGTCCAAATAGTTATTGATGAGTGTTCAGACTCTTTATTTTTCTGTTTTGGTCGTCTTTCCAATGTGACGTTACTGTAAACTTAATGTGTTAATTAATCCACCTTTTACTACGAGACCCCAGAAGAAGAAAACAGAAGGGTTTTATCTCCACTTCCTGTTTACTTTCTGCTGTTTACAAGGTTTATTATTAGAAGGTCGGTCAGGCTCAGTTTTATTGTGAGGTATTCAGGTTATAACACCTCTGCCTCCACACTGTCACCCAAAACTCCATTCAAAAAAACGGCTTGTTTTAAGGAAGTAAAAAACCTGCTCTCACTCAGTCTTCCTCTCCTGCTTTATAAAGATGGTGGCCGGCGGAGGTCAGTCATCCCAAAACGATCCCGGAGAACATCCAGCGGATGAGGCACGATGTCGGGGAGTTTCCCGTTCACTTCTTTGGCTCCAACGACTACCTGTGGACCTACCAGGCCCGGGTCTTCCCTTATATGGACGTGGACGCCAACAGCAAAGAGAAGATGGGGAAAGGTGTCGATGCCACCTACAAGAAAGGTGTCTAGTGTCTTTTATAACAAAGTGTTTCACGGTTTGTTTGTTTGTTTGTTTGTTTGTTTGTTGGTTTGTGACTGTTGATCTTCCTCTTCAGCTCTGGAGGAGGCGGCTGTTCGGTTTCGTGAGCTTCAGGCGGAAAAAGAGCTTCGACAGCTTCAAGAGGACAGAAAGAACGACAGGAAACCTCCTCCCTACAAACACATAAAGGTCTCTGTTTCATCCTTACTTAAAATGTGATTGTATACGTTGTTTTTATCTTTTAACCTCCTGTGTGACACATTATTGGATGTTCCTCTTTCTGACTCAGGTGAATCGACCAATAGGGAAGGTTCAGATCTTCACGGCCGACCTGTCGGAGATCCCGCGCTGCAACTGTAAGGCGACAGACGAGAGTCCGTGTGGGACGGACTCCGAGTGCATCAACCGGATGCTGCTGTACGAATGTCACCCACAGGTACCGAACCGTGTTACTAAAGACTGTAGGAACGGACCCGTTAATATCTGTTAATATCTGTTAATATCTGTTAATATCTGATCAATATCTGAACCTGTAGGTTTGCCCGGCGGGCGATCGCTGCCTCAACCAGGCGTTCACTAAGCGTCAGTACAGTCAGGTGGAAATCTTCAGGACGCTGTCTCGAGGCTGGGGACTCCGCTGTGTCCACGACATCAAGAAGGTAACTGGTTCTGGTTCTGGTACTGGTACTAATACTGGTACTGATACTGGTACTGATACTGGTACTAATACTGGTACTGATACTGGTACTGGTACTGGTCCTAATACTAATACTGGTTCTGGGAGGTGGATCGGGTTCAGTAACCAGTGTTTTGCTCTCAGGGTCAGTTTGTGAGCGAGTACGTTGGGGAGGTGATCGACGAGGAGGAGTGCAGGTCGAGGATCCGACACGCTCAGGAGAACGACATCTGTAACTTCTACATGTTGACTCTGGACAAGGTGCTGCAGCCTCACTCTGAGAATACAACTTTATTCAAACTTTATTAACGTTGTTAACGATCAATGTGTGTGTGTGTGTGTGTGTGTTAGGATCGGATCATCGACGCCGGGCCGAAGGGGAACGAGGCCCGCTTCATGAACCACTGCTGTCAGCCCAACTGTGAGACGCAGAAGTGGACGGTGAGCGGCGACACTCGGGTCGGGCTGTTCGCTCTGGTGGACGTCGCTGCAGGTACGCCGCCGCCGCCCGCACGCACTCTCGACTCTTAACGCCACCTGAGGCTGAAACGATGTGCAGACCCCTTTCTGTGTGTGTGTGTGTGTGTGTGTGTGTGTTCAGGCACCGAGCTCACCTTCAACTACAACCTGGAGTGTTTGGGCAACGGGAAGACGGTTTGTAAATGCGGAGCGCCGAACTGCAGTGGCTTCCTGGGCGTCAGGCCGAAGGTGAGCGAGAGCGGCGTGCTGATCCGATTATGTATCGTTACCCGAGGTACCCGGGGTGTAACACTTTCCTTCCTTCCTCTCCGACAACCAGAACAATCCTCCGTCTGACGACAAAGGCCGCAAGCTGAAGAGGAGGGGCCACGGCAAGAGGAAGAACAAGGTGGTGGTGACCAAAGAGCGAGAGGACGAGTGCTTCAGCTGCGGAGACGGCGGGCAGATGGTTTCCTGTAAGAAACCCGGCTGCCCCAAAGTTTACCACGCCGACTGCCTCAACCTCACCAAGAGGCCCGCAGGTCGGTGCACGGACTTCTTTGATTTTGGTAAAACCTGTGTCATTTCCTGTGTGTCCTTAGTTCGGTAGAAAGAAAATACCTGAAAAATTTGACGTTCGTCGAGTTTTCGGGATTAAGGCTGATATGGTAAAAACTATCGATCATTTTAGCATCGCAGATTTAGTTTTCACTCGGCTATATTGCGATCTCGGAGTTCGCTAACGTTATAAAAACTATCTGTGTGGATATGTTAGTTGGCTAATGTTACCTTCCCCCTAACGTGATCCATGATATTTACTAATGTTTTATTATTGATTAAGACAATGATAAAGGCTGACTGCAGTTCACTTAATGGCCACCGGTGTCATTATTAACAGCGGTTTTCTAAAAGTTACAAGAACTTTTAAATTACAGTAAAATAGTTAATAATTAGCTAGTTAGTTATAATAATTAAATTATTATTAATTCCTGCCACTGGGTCGGATTTCCCCTCGAAACCAATGAAACGAGACGTGGAAACACGACCTCTTTTGTCCACAGGGAGGCGCCAGAATCAACACAGAATGAAAAACCCTTCAAACATAAAAACAAACAAATCTTTAGTTGTTTTTGTGCTTCCTCTGTTTTGTCCCCGCAGGTCGTTGGGAATGTCCGTGGCACCAGTGCGATATTTGCGGTAAAGACGCGGCGTCCTTCTGCGAGATGTGCCCCAGTTCCTACTGCAACCAGCACCGCGACGGCCTGCTCTTCATCTCCAAGCTGGACGGAAAGCTGTGCTGCAGCGAGCACGACCCCTGTGGCCCCGAACCGCTGGAGCCGGGGGAGATCCGGGAGTACGCGCCCGAACCCAGATCCCTCCCCTCGGGTCTGGGCATGGCCGTCATCCCGTCCGCCGCCTCTAACGCCGCCGCCGGCGTGACCCCGAGCACCAGGAGGGTCCAGGAGATCAGCGCCGGCTCCGAGTCACTTTCTGCTTTTTCCATCCCGGTGCCCATCACTATTCCCGTCGCCGCGCCCGCCGCCTCGCCACCGCTGAACGACAGCTCGGACGCTCCCAGCAGCCCGCACGTATTTGACCTCCCGCACTACTCGCCCATCTCGTCGTACGAGGAGGAGAGGGATGAAGAGGAGGAGGAGGAGGAGGAAGAGGAGGAGGATGAGGAGCTGGCAGAAGTGGAGGAGGAGGAGTCAGCGGAGGAGGGCGAGGTCGGGAGGCAGAAATCAGACCCTCAGGAAGAGGATGGGGAGGTGATGGAGGAAGAGGGGGAGGAGTATTTAGACGACGACGACGATGAAGAGGAGGAGGAGGAGGAAGAGGAGGAGGAGGAGGAGTGACGCACAGTGACTTGGAGGAGTCACTACGGAGAGGAGGCATTACACAAGCAGCCCAGTCTGTCACTGTTTGTAACGAGCAGCTGGATGTACGGAGGAACTTACAGGACAAAACTAAATCAACACGTAAATAAATTCTCTCCATAAAAGAATAAAAACAAACTGTAGAATCTCATAAATCTTTTTATTTAGTATTCATTTAGTTTTGTCCTCGCAATCGCTATTAAAAAAAAACGAAACCTTTTCCTGGATTTCCTCGGTCCACGCTGTCGGGAAACGGTTCAGTGACTTTGCACACACTGGCGCTGACTGCACCTTCACCTGAGAGGAAACAAAGACGCATATTTCACTCCGACTTTCACTTGTTTTCTCCACATTTTGACTGATTTCACCTGCTGGTTCTGTTGGTTTTTATTTTCTTTCTGTAGTATTTAAGGTGTCACGTGTGTCAGTAGTTGGAGGCGGTCGTTGTGTCGGCAGCATCGCGGAGCCGGTGTGTTTCACGCTGGAGAGAGGACGGCACTGTAGCTTCCTGCCGAAGGTACGACGAACTCTTCGGCAGTCACGTGAAAGTTTATCTGTGAATGAACCAACCAGCCTCAACTGGAGCCTCCCTAAGCCCCGCCCCCTCTGCTCTGCCTCCTCTCCTGTCCTTAGATATGCTTTATGCTAAGCTAATCTATGTTGAAAGACAACCACATTTTGAAGATGGTATTTATTATCTTTTAACCATGTTCAACGTAGCTTAGCGTAGCACACAGCATCTCTTATCTTCCGAAAGGGGCGGGACTAAAAGGAAGCGTTTTATTTGTGCTTTTTGGGTTGGTGGACTTTTGTTTACGTCTTTCAGGAGTTTCAGTAGGATAAATTCGGTTTGTTGTGGACGCCGTCGCTTCCGTTGATGCTCCAGATCTTCTCCACTTCCTCAGATCAGTTAGATGCTGTTTGATCATGTGATCGGCCGCCTGGCGTGGCCTCGTAGTTCTGGACTGAAGCTGCCAGCAGCCAGTATTGGAAAAGACACTTTATCTAAATTTAATGCCAAAAAAAAAAAACAGGATTTAAAATGGACATTCAGCGTTGGACTGTTCCTCCACGCCATCGAACGCTGGGAACGCCTCGCCCTGATGATTGCTGGCGGTCTGTAGGTTTGCTCCAGTGTGTACGCTGTGCTCTGTAGTCGTTATTTATAAACCGTTCTGTGACGCACAAACGATGGCGAGGGAGCTCCTCGTTCCCTCCTCGTCTCTCACTCTCTGCCGGAGGGAGAAACTAAAGTCTTCAGATTGGACGCGAGACGCTTGAAACGACGGCCATGATGCTTTGCACTCGCAGTTATGTGTTCTTGCCACACGTGTTTCGCTCTGTCTTCAAGCTTAATATTGTCTGTGTGTGATCTGCCAATGCCTTAGAGTGTATTTCTTTGGAGATATTTTTAAGGAATGGTTGGAGAAGTGTCCCTACTAATGCCTTTTTACAGTTGCCCTACAAGCAATGTTTCATTCCAGTGTAATTATGACCTGTTAGATCTCAACCGTTCACCTGTTAAAACAACTGCTATATAAATATATAAGAAAAAGAAGTTATGAAATAAGCTTTGTGCCGGCCTCGTTCTTTATTTATTCATTTATTTACTGGTCAGATATTAAGTTACAGAGAAAACAGTGAGTTAAAAATTAAAGCCATGATACTGTTTGTGAGATTGTGATCAATAATATGAGATAAAACGTCAGAATTGTGCTCTTTTATCTTATAATTTAAACTTTTCATTATAATTTTTTTCTTTTATCTCACAATTATTTACCTTTTTTTGACCTTTTATCCCATAATTGTGACTTTTTATAATGTTATCATCAATCATGGTATGGTTGATCGGTGTATATGAATGTTTTATTTATCATAGCATCTTTAAATCATATTAGATATTTAAAACCTTATCATTTATGGCTGTAAATTCATTTAATTAAATAAAATCACATAATTAAACATTGCAGGAAGATCTAGTGAGCAAATGTAATTATTTAACCACCAAAGTGCTTTAAAACATATCAGAAAAGGCTAATTAGCCTCACTGGATCTAGTTAATAAAAATAAACAATGTTATAACTTGTTACACATTTAGTTTAGCATATGTAGAAAACACGAGACATGTTTCAGATTATCAGAAAGTCTGAGCAGTGAGCCAAATGCTTATTATCCTCACTGGATAAGTGGTTGCTGAATGCTAACAAAGTAATATTTGTTTTATCTTGGTTGATTTTAATGTCCTGTACGGTTGTGAATGCTCTTTTTATTTCATTATTTTTTATCATTTTTAATTATAATTAATTAATTGTTTTATTAACGTTTACATGTATACCAAAAATATAACTTTTAATTAACTATTTGTTGGATTTTTACCTTCTGAATCCTCTTTTAGCCCCCAGATGTTTGTAATGTTGTCTCTTTAATCATTAACACTGTGGCCTCGGCTGTGTTATGTAAGTTTATCTAAAAAGGTCAAAGAGCAGCGTGGGGAACGGTCTGTCTCTGTGCTGTTGAACTTTGACCCCTCCGACATTAACTCCACTGTGTGTCTGTTATCTTCTATATACAGTTACAGAGTCTGTTAGACCTCCGTGAGAGATATTATTAATTTGGACTTTTAAGAGTTTAATTTATAGTTTTATGAGCTGTTTCCCAGGGTTGAGCGAGATAATGTACATTTTATTATTACAGTAAAATGTATAAATATCTGAATATAGTGTCTAAAAATGTTATATTTGTGATGTATATCCACTTTAAAAATCAGCAAAAATTCATAAACTAACTAAAAACTAAAGCTGATAAATAATTATTGTGAAGTAAAAAATACAATATTGTATATAATATAATATAACTGGTTATGAAACAGTCTCATACTACATAAAGAAATAAAAACCTGTACACCGTACACCGACCACAAACAATAATAAACAAACACAGAAAATAGCTCAACTCAAAGTTTAAAATAAATCAACACATAAACCAGATTGTGAAAATGAGTGTAAACACTTTATATTCACAGATACAGAGCGATGCATCATCATAATAATAATAATCTTTATTTAATCACCTTCATTATAAACATGCTCATCCGTCCATCGCACCCAAACCAGCTCCTGTTTTTATTTACTTTATAAATACTGTAACATATAAATCTTTTTCTTTCTCCACTTGTTATAAAAACCATAATTTAAAGTCTTTATCCAGCATTAATGTGTCAAAACGGTTCAAATCGGTGGTTTTAAAACTAAATTTTGCCAATATTTTTTATATTTCTACATATTTTAATTATCTGGATTAATTTTTTTATTATTTTGAATGCAGCAAATTTTAACCTCTTTTTAAAACAATGACTGGAAACCAGTAAGAACAATAAGGCCTACAAACATTAAGTACATTAATTTATTGACATTTATCTCACATTATTGATCAGAACTTTGCAGCTGTAAATAATAATTTAAAGTAATATAAATAATCAATAAAGAAAAATAATGAATTAATTAAAGTTAATTGAAGTTATTGGTAAAACTCGACTGTAGCCAACAGCAGTTTGTTACAGATCCAACCTGAAGCACAAAATAGACTTTTTTCACGGCAGCCATTTTGACATGAACCAGTCGGGTAAACACAGCTGTTACCACTAATTAAGGCTCCGTTCCAATCCAGTCAATCAGAGTCAGGGTGCTGCTGTTCTACACTAAATGGAACTGAACCTTAATTATTACCATCGATAACACCTGTGTTTACCCGACTAGTTCATGTCAAAATGGCTGCTGTGAAAAAGGCCTCTTCACTGTGGAAACAATCACACTTTTAGCTTCGCGACGGCTCACAAACAAACAAATAGAACTAATGTTAAATATAAACTTATAAACTTTTAAGACTTTTAAAGACTTTAATAATATAATGTAATAATTGTTTATTTCTTTATGTATTAAATGTTTTTTACAGTTTTGGTTAATAATAATAATCAATATAAACCTATGAGAGTGGAGGGAAGCCTTAAAAAACAGCTGTTATTTAATAAATAGTTTCCAATATAAAGCTGATCGATTAAAACGGTGTTTCTCAGACGTTTTACGATGCGTACGCCTCAGAAAATTCCAGTAAAGAGCCACCATTATGACCAAAAAGATAATTTACTGTTGAATCCTGAACCGGTTCAAGAACCAGAGCTAGTTTGGTGGTAAACGGTCCCGCTGGTCCACATTTCTCTTCCCAGTAGTTCCAGTTTGGAGCCGACTGCAGCGTTTTAGAACCGTTCATCTGACCTCCGCCCACCGTCTTTACCATCACAGTTTAGCTCCTGACTAATCCCGGATGTACGCGTGCACACTACGTTACAACCATCAACATATATAAAGTAAAGATGGACGAAGCCAAACTCTCTCTATCGCCCCCTGGTGGCCGACTGCAGTACAGCTCATAAAGCCTCCACGAGTGGAGACGAAGGATGACACCGAAACTAAATATTAAAGGAAACAACTTAGTTTTTTGCTATTGTGGGATTTTGATAAGACTATATGTTTTAAAATAACTGTAAAACTCCTAATAATAGCCTGGGTGTTTATTTGTTTAAATCACTGAACCTCCCCCCGCCTCTGATTGGGGACAGGGCTTTAATTCCTGTTAGCACTCAAATAGAGACTAAAAACCTAACGTGCTGCTTCTCTTTGGTTTTTACTTCAGCAAAGGTTTGAAACATGCAATGATTGATGATAGCTTAGAGGTCTTGTTTGTCCCTCTCTTCGCTTGTTTACCGTGTTACCGGGTATTGAGTCAGATGGAATTAAATTATACCTTTTGTTGATGAGGTTTTCGGTACACGGGGACGGGTTTCGGGTGAAATATGTGACGAAACCGATTGAATTGTGTGGAGTAAATGCTATAAACTGAATCTAATGATGTGCAGCATGTTCATATTAACAGAAGTTTAAACATTTATATTTGTGTAGGAGATGGAAACGACTTAAAACTCGCTCTAGTGCGCGACCCGGTGGGTTTAAAAGGTTTAATACATTGAGATAATTTCTATAAAATCCAGACCAGGCTTTTAAAAGAGACCTGCGTCTGTTAGGGACCCGCTTTTATTGGAGGTTTTACGGTAGTTTATTTAATGTTTTAGTTTAAGGACCAGAGATATAAACCATGTTAAACAACAGTACACGCTGACTTTCACTGACAGTTTTGCTGGTTTCGAGTTATTTTATTTGGTTTAAGGGAACTTTTAAAGACATACATTTATTTCAGTGTGCCGACCGACCGGGATGAGACGCGACGTCTGAAACCAGCAAAATTATCTTCAAGTGGAAAAAGAAAAAGGTGCAAAGCTGGAAATTCACTTCTGTTGATGCAATAACTTTAAGATTTGTGATGATTTTCAAACACGCTTTACAATTTTATACATATTGCCATTATACTGAGTTTGTTCACTCAGATGCATCCAAAGCTCAGATATTATACACAATAATAATAATAATAATAATAATAATACAATTTAAGGTCTGTGAGAGCTTCGAAACATTCTTTTAACAAGCTTTTAATTTTACACATTTAACATATTTGTACAGTCGGTCAAACAGCCCTCAGTAAAAATATTGTGCATCAGAAGATCAACACGTGAAACATCAACACATCAAAGCAGCAACACGAGGAAACTGGTGTCCGTTCGTTTCCTCCCGCCAACTTAAAAAACAAAAAAGGCAATAAATTAGTGAGTTTTGAAGTTAAATAGCTGTAGAGGTTCTGAGGACACGGAGATGACAGTTTGTACCTTATTACAACATTGGTTTCTTTTCTTCCTGCGTTGGTGAAATCTGCAGTTTCAACACAGCGAAGGGGAACTTTGATCTTCTCTTAAACACAAACGTTTCACCGCCGCAGAGACGACCGAAGGAAAAGCCGACGGTCATATTTCCAAACGAGTACTTTTTGCATTTGAAATTACAAAATAGAAAATTTAGAGATTTAAATGCTGAAAAGTGACCGAAGGATTTTCCTTCAGTCGGCTGAAGTCGTGAAACTTAGCCAGCCACCTTCAAATGAGCTTATTGTATTTTAGACAGAATCGAAGCTTCAGCAGCAAAAGGTCCGTCACTATGGATGCATTATTAGTGGATACTGAACTTCAGGCTGCACGCGCTCATTAGTGTTTCTCCTGCTGGCCCCGCCCACTTCATTACATCAGCATGACGTCATGCAAATAAAAATAGCTTTTCGGGACTCTGGGGTGAATTTCATAAATATAAAACCTCCGTGGGTTAAAACTTCTTTATACAAGGATTAATAATAATTAACTGTGTGCAGTTTTAGCCTCTTGGGGTGGGGGGGGGGGGCAGCAGGGCGGAGTGGAGGCGCC